GCGACACAAGATGTAGAAGAGTTCATCACTGTAGTGAAGAACATTGCAGGCACTTTTGGCGGCATCAATCTGGAAGACATTTCCGCACCACGTTGTTTCGAGATCGAAAAGCGCTTGCAAGAAATGCTCGATATTCCAGTATTCCACGATGACCAGCATGGTACTGCTACCATTATTTCTGCCGGTTTAATGAATGCACTGGAAATTCAGGGCAAAAAACTGGAAGAGGTGAATATTGTGTGCGTGGGTGCGGGTGCTGCGGGGGTAGCCTCCATGAACCTGCTAACAGCCTTGGGCGCAAACAAGCAAAAGCTATTGATGGTGGACAGCAAAGGCGTGCTGCATACCGGGCGTACTGACCTGAATGCCTTCAAACTTCAGTATGCTGTGGATACAGATCGCCACACCCTAGCAGATGCTTGCCGAGATGCGGATGTCTTCATCGGCCTGTCTGGCCCAAATGTAATGACCGTTAACATGCTCAACAGCATGGCTGCTAATCCAATCGTATTTGCCCTTTCTAACCCTGACCCAGAAATTGCTCCAGCCGTGGCGTTGGCTGCCCGTGATGACCTGCTGATGGCTACCGGACGCAGTGACTACCCTAACCAAATCAACAATGTACTGGGTTTCCCGTTCCTGTTCCGGGGAGCACTGGATGTACGTGCTCGCTGCATTAACAACGAGATGTTGAAAGCGGCTGTTTATGCGCTGGCAGAACTAGCACGTGAACCCGTACCGACAGAAGTGTTGACAGCCTATAACATTGACAGTCTGACATTCGGCAAGCATTACATTATCCCGACACCGTTTGACCCACGGTTGCGTGAACGTGTACCCCTTGCTGTCTCCAAAGCGGCAATAGCCTCAGGGGTTGCTCGTCTACCACTGCCCTTATAAGCCGTTGTAAGGCGTTAGCACAGGCTGCGTCTGCGGAGCATGACTCTGCGGACGCTGCGTTGGCGTAAGGCTTAATTTCTCACCCTCAGTACGAATGCAATAACGTAAACCCATCCGATAGCAGCGTTGCGCATTCTCCGGTTCTTTCATGGTTTCCAGCAATTCTGCCAATTCCAAATAACCTTCGGCATTGGGTGCTTGGTTGAGACTGGATTCGTAATAACTCTTCGCCATGCCCCACAGCTTCTGCTGGTTGTACAGGCGAGCCAATAACAACAGCAATGCGGGGTTATTGGCTGGTTGGCTGAGTTGCCATTTTTCTGCTTGCTGAATCGTGTTACCAAGACTGTGATGCTGGATGCGCCCAAACAAATCCGCCAAACCATCATCCCAACGCTTACTGAGAATATTGCTGATCAGACCATTGCAAGCCAAATCATCCCCCGCAGTGTGCAATGCCTTGGCATACAGCAAGATAGCATCGTGGTTTTCACGAATAGGGGTTGGTAACTTCTTCCACATGGATTGCACTTTGTCAGTCTGTCCGTCCTTAGCATAATGCTCAAACATCGCCTTCAAGGTCGCACCTTGCACTTTGCCCATATCATCATTTTTCAGCAAATTCTGTTTGGCCAAATCCGGCAACAAACCCAATAACGCTTCCCAGTTTTCCTGCCGGTACAACACTTTCGCCAATAATTTCAGAACATAAGGGT